TATGTAAATGTGATATTGTTTGCAAGTGATAATATATATCTTGTGTGTAGAGTGCAGTCCAAATTAATGATTAAATAACAAGTGCTGGGGAATCATAAATCATTACACCCAATGTCCGAGTTATGATAATGATATTCTGAATTTGTTACCTAAAAGTTGTTTGTGTATCGATTTTTATTTCCAACTTGTTTCTTATCAATTGTGGAAAAGCAAAATTAAGCTACATTTGTTTTGATGAAAAATATTATAGAATTGTGTAACTCATCTGAATCTATAACCAGTTATTTAGAATCATTGATCATCTTGGTTGTTAATTAGGTTGTTCACAGGCATGTATAAACTCAAATCAATCTAATTTAACTTAAATAATTGTTTTTGCAGTTTTTAAAGTGTTTAGGTAAAACTTAGCATAACCTAATCCAATCAAATTCATTGTCTTTGAATTTTATTGCTAAAAACCTAATCAAATCTAACTTCTTAAACAAATTTTAAATTATAATTTAATATATATATATATATTCCCCAATGGACATGACCCATCAAACGTCATCTCTTTCGGGCAAAAACGGATCTCTCCTGTAGTGTTACACATTATAAACAACTAAATTAATACTATTACTGATTAATCACAATTCAATTTAACTAAAATATATGTACTATCTTTGGGAAATTCATATGAATGACAAAGAACAACGTCGTATGAATAATAATAGTTGTACCATAGGCGTGGCTGAAGAGAGCCAACACTGTGCACACAATGAGGAGAGTGCTTGATAGCTTCATGATGATATTTGCTTCAACACAATTTTCTTAACTTCAACTCTTCAAATGGTTGCACATTGTTGCATCCAAACAAGAGAATATATAGGCATGTAGCCATGTATCTCTTGGAACGGTATTAGGAGAAGTAATCATCATTTTCAAAACAGAAACTATACGTATTGGGAGAAGTAATGATTATTTTCAAAACAAATATAACAGTTACACCCAAAATAATATAATAAAATTCATAAGATTATTTTA